CTGTTTGATGAGATGAAAAGCTCCAAGGAAAACAGCTTCAAGGTGACCGAACATTTTGAAATATGACGTATTTTGGAAAAGAATGCTGCTCGAGTGATCCAGCCAGAGCATTCTTAGGCTTCCTTCTCACTCTAAACTCTGTTTCTGATGAGAGATGCATAAATGTCCAAATGTGAGATGCAAAAAGAGGTGCATTCAGGTTGTTGTGTTGTAAATGCCCCCTCAACGTTTGATGGTAACCTTTTACTATGGGTACAAGCCTTCCTAAGAGGCAAGAAATCAGGGGTCAGAAATGGAAGTGACCAGTTGTTCCCATGTCAAATCCATTCAAAGGACTCTAAGCAAAAGTCATAGTAAGTATTCCTCTTCAAAGCCTGCAAAGAACAAGTGAGGTGTTTAGGCCAAGTAAAAACAACATACTTTCATGAGCACCAATGAAAGTATATCTGCTGTGGTCCTGTAATGTTGCCTCATGTACTATTTTGTTTTGTTAAATGTCTTTTTTTTTATTTTGGTGAGCAAGTAAGAGGAAATCCAAGGGTTACCTTTGCGGCCTGTTGCCATTTCTGAGAAATACTGTTTAATTAGTCTGTTGAAAGACTGTGTGAAGCCAAAATGCCACTTAAAATGATATTAGAAAAGGTCTCTTCCTCTCATCCATTTGCATGGTTGTTTTAATTCAGCTGTTGCCATGTTTTTCTTTTTGGTCCCACCCCATGCAATGCTACATGAAGCTACTGGAATGCTGCTAACCCTCATCTGGCCAAAATATCTCTTTCTCCTCACCACAGGTCGATGGTAAAAAATCTAAAGGTAATTCAGTGGACCTTCGGCTGGATATTGAGCGCAGAAAGAAATACTTGAGTGGGGAGAGAGAGCACAGAGAGGAAGAGTATGGAGGAAGAGTATCGAGGGAATCTCCAGGTTCAAGCAAGGAAATATCCACTGAGAAAAACTCAAAGAACCACAAAAAACTGAAGTAAGCTGCTGTATAGGCATGTGAGAGTGATCAGAAATAAAGAGGTTCTGCTATGAGTTGTTCAGCTTGGAAAACAGAATGAAGAGAGACTTAAACGGTTGAAGCTGCAGCCATTTTGGTGACAAAAATAATAAGCTGACAGTTGTATTTTTGTTTGGGTTTGTTGTGACCTCTCAAGTGAAAAAAATCCTGCCTTGGTGATAATGACTTCTCTAAATGTAGTATTTCGATCAACCAATAAACAATTAGCAATTTCAGATAAAATTTTACTTGCCTCAACATTAAAAGAATGGTTGAGTCAAGTAAAGATTAAGCAAGATGAAACCGTCAAGAAGTCCATCTTGAGCCTCTCAAGAGGCCTTAAAAACATTTATAAAAAGGCCTGGAGATGCGTTCACACTCAGTGCAAATGTTGAGCAGAGTTGAATTTTATGCAAATGAGCTGCAAAACGATGCAGCGACTTCCAATGGGAGTGGAGCTTACATGATTTTAACCTCCTGATACCGTCAAGTTTAAATGCCTGCTTGTGCCCAATAGGACAGCCACTTGGTCACCTTCAGCTATTAAATCCCTGTCAGTGTGAATGCACCTTTTTGCCTTTCTGGTCAGCTGTATATATGGAATATGTTGGATAAAGGCTGTCAAGTGTTTAAAAAATGTCCTGATTTCCTTCTGGTAAAGATTAATTTATAGTTGGTGGAGAAGCAAATGACCTGATAAAGTCATCTTGCGCATGTTGAAGAACAATAAAATTTGTTACCTTCGATCCAGTTGATTTTTGAATTTTTAAGACCTGTTAACATTCATGAACAATGTCTGAATCTAATGTTATTTAATTCCTAAGGAAAAACAAGAAGAAACGTGAGCATTCTGAGTCATCTTCCTCATCTTCCTTTGTTTACCACGAAGAAGACGCTGAGATCAAGGCAGAAGGTTTCTCCAAAATACAACAGGGGCTTAGAGAGTATGGAGAGCCTGCAGAAAGAGGACGGGCACGAGGAGGCTTTGTAAGTTTTGAGTGTATGAAATAACTAAGATGTTTGTTTATTGCTGTGGTACTTAAGGTTGCCATTTGCTGTTTCTCAGCAGCTTAGAATGCGTGGCAGAAGTTGGAACCGAGGACATTTCCATGGAAGCAGTAATGGTGATTCACAGATGAACATGTCAGCAAAGAATGACGACTGGGATCAAGAATACACTCCCAAGAACAAGAAATACTTCCTAGTATGTTGTGATCTTTGTAACACCCATTCTGCTTTCCCTTTCTATTGGAGTTTCTAATGGAAAAAATAGTCCCACCTACAACTATATGTTATATAATTGCATCAAGAAGATTCTTGGCAAGTCTGTATTTTTTGTCTTTGCAGCACAGTGAAAGAGAAGGTGAAGCTGAGAAGAAGATGATGGACACACGAGGACGTGGTAGCGGTAATGCTCTTCGCGCAAAGGGACGTTTCATCCTCCGGAGGGCCACAAATACCAACACCATCAATAATACGAGCCCTAAATGGGCCCATGATAAATTCCAGACCACTGATGATGATGAGGGCGAACAGCAAGGAGAAGATGTAGACCAGGACCAGTGAGAACAGAGCAGTAACGATGTTAAGATCCCTCATCATGCTTTAAACCCTGGGATAAGACTTGTCAGCCTTTGGATATAATATTCACATCCATATGCGTCTAAAACTTTTTCATAGGAAAGAGGCTTTTTTATTGTATTGCTTTGATTTCCTATTTTCGTGAGGATGCTTTTTGTCAGCTTGGTCGTGTTTTGTGCTTTCTGTGTATTTTTTTTTTTTTTTTTGTACATGCAAACTCTCAAAAGTTAATAGAAAAATACATATTATGGAGTTTAAGCAAAGTTATTTAGAGGAGCACATTCATCTAATCATGGCAGACACTGTTAAAGGCAACTTCAAACTTGTGCAAATGTTGAGCAGAGTTGAATTTTATGCAAATGAGCTGCAAAACGATGCAGCGACTTCCAATGGGAGTGGAGCTTACATGATTTTAACCTCCTGATACCGTCAAGTTTAAATGCCTGCTTGTGCCCAATAGGACAGCCACTTGGTCACCTTCAGCTATTAAATCCCTGTCAGTGTGAATGCACCTTTTTGCCTTTCTGGTCAGCTGTATATATGGAATATGTTGGATAAAGGCTGTCAAGTGTTTAAAAAATGTCCTGATTTCCTTCTGGTAAAGATTAATTTATAGTTGGTGGAGAAGCAAATGACCTGATAAAGTCATCTTGCGCATGTTGAAGAACAATAAAATTTGTTACCTTCGATCCAGTTGATTTTTGAATTTTTAAGACCTGTTAACATTCATGAACAATGTCTGAATCTAATGTTATTTAATTCCTAAGGAAAAACAAGAAGAAACGTGAGCATTCTGAGTCATCTTCCTCATCTTCCTTTGTTTACCACGAAGAAGACGCTGAGATCAAGGCAGAAGGTTTCTCCAAAATACAACAGGGGCTTAGAGAGTATGGAGAGCCTGCAGAAAGAGGACGGGCACGAGGAGGCTTTGTAAGTTTTGAGTGTATGAAATAACTAAGATGTTTGTTTATTGCTGTGGTACTTAAGGTTGCCATTTGCTGTTTCTCAGCAGCTTAGAATGCGTGGCAGAAGTTGGAACCGAGGACATTTCCATGGAAGCAGTAATGGTGATTCACAGATGAACATGTCAGCAAAGAATGACGACTGGGATCAAGAATACACTCCCAAGAACAAGAAATACTTCCTAGTATGTTGTGATCTTTGTAACACCCATTCTGCTTTCCCTTTCTATTGGAGTTTCTAATGGAAAAAATAGTCCCACCTACAACTATATGTTATATAATTGCATCAAGAAGATTCTTGGCAAGTCTGTATTTTTTGTCTTTGCAGCACAGTGAAAGAGAAGGTGAAGCTGAGAAGAAGATGATGGACACACGAGGACGTGGTAGCGGTAATGCTCTTCGCGCAAAGGGACGTTTCATCCTCCGGAGGGCCACAAATACCAACACCATCAATAATACGAGCCCTAAATGGGCCCATGATAAATTCCAGACCACTGATGATGATGAGGGCGAACAGCAAGGAGAAGATGTAGAACAGGACCAGTGAGAACAGAGCAGTAACGATGTTAAGATCCCTCATCATGCTTTAAACCCTGGGATAAGACTTGTCAGCCTTTGGATATAATATTCACATCCATATGCATCTAAAACTTTTTCATAGGAAAGAGGCTTTTTTATTGTATTGCTTTGATTTCCTATTTTCGTGAGGATGCTTTTTGTCAGCTTGGTCGTGTTTTGTGCTTTCTGTGTATGTTTTTTTTTTTTTTTGTACATGCAAACTCTCAAAAGTTAATAGAAAAATACATATTATGGAGTTTAAGCAAAGTTATTTAGAGGAGCACATTCATCTAATCATGGCAGACACTGTTAAAGGCAACTTCAAACTTATTTTCTATCCTTAAATCTCTGGAAGAATTAGCACTCCATCTCGAAATCGAGTGCCTCCATTGTGAATCCGGTCTCGTTTTTTGCACAAGACTATTAAAACATGCAAACGAAACAAACGCAGAACAAAAAGTTAATATCTAAGTAGTGAAAGACTGATTGGATAAGGCAGGCCAATTGATCAGCTGATATTTGTCCATTTTGAGATTATCATTAACTGATTAAAGGAAGTGTTTATCTCCCCACTTTTTTAGTTTCCAATTTTACTGATAGCTTTGTCTATGGATAGTAAGAAATGTTATTTTTTTATTTGTGTGTGAATTTTGATCGTGTAATATACAGTACAATTCAACATAATACGACACATATGTAGTTTATTGACCACACTGCTTTATAGATGTTGATATCAGGCATCAAAAAGCCCATTTTATTTGACCATTAGTTCAATGGTTAGGTGCCGTTGATACACCACAGTGCCTGAAGTGTAGAATACCAGTATAGAACTATGGCTGGTTATGTACTCATTATTGCTGTTGAAAAAAAAATAGATGTACATATTAATGTTTTGTGGACTTAATTGAAACTCTTTGAGACCCTTGTGTGTCTACCTATAGAAAGGAAGATCTTGACTTAATAACTTGTATGAATGACCCAGTCTCGCTATGGGACCAAACTACAGCAGGTAGACATTCATGTCCCAGTCACTGACATGTGGGGGGAAAAGATTTACATTCATCCCACTGCTAGTCAAAGTCAAAGATGTCAACTTTGAAACTGGACAAACAGCCTACAGATAAAGTTAAATGTACATGCACATACAAATGTTTTAAAGAGAATTTTTGATTTATTGGGGTGCAAGTTTTTGACAGTATGTGTGTGCATCCTGTTTTATTATGGTTTTTCTAATGTGTGTCTTGTGTCTTCAAATTGTATGCCTTTTTCTATTGGCTAAGCACCTTTATTTTTGTTTTTGAAGAGTTAAAGTATAAAGAATGTGCTGGGGGGAAAGTGAACAATTTTCATTCATTCTCAAAATTTGATTTTTTTTAGCTGTCTGGGTTCTGATTTGCACTGTCTGATATATACATTTGGACTTTTTTGACTTGCATTTATATACTCACAATCAGAAAGAAATAAAATGCAGCAATTTTACATTTGACTGATTTTTGTGTCAAGTAGAAACAGGAAGGGGTTTTTTTGTGTGTGTAAATTATCATATTGTGAATTAAGCCTATTTTAATGGTCTCTTAAAAATGCTTTATTATTTCTGTGTAAATTGACCCGACATGCTCTAAATAAAAGCATTACAGTCTCAGTACAATCATATCTCTGCTATCTGTTCAATAAAAGTTAAGCATGGCATAGACTGAAAGAACTCATATCAACACACTCTTAACAATCAGCTCCTTTGTTCAGTAATACGGGCACTGATCAGGGAGTCGGCCATTTTAAGGGCTGGCTCAATCGCGAAATCCTTCGAGTGCACTGCAAAAACTAGGGCGCATAGGCGCTCACTATACTCCCTTACCGGAAATAACGTCACATTTCTGAAGCGCGAAACATTAAACCACACGAGCCAACTCGATGACTCGCGATAGAAGATTTGAAAAGACAAACCGTTTTTTAGTATATTTCAACATAAACACACATCGCTAGACAGGAATTGAACACATCTAATTAACATTCGGCTGAAATGTTGTAAGAACTTGTACCAGAACGACGTGTTTAAAGAGAATAAAAAAATAAATATCAAAAAGAGCTCGGTCCTGTCTGTCGTTTATTAATTCCAGTGATGACGTTCTACTATGTTGTCCGTTGACGTTGTACGTAACGTTAATCATGTCACTGGAATTTGAGTGATGGCTGTCCCAACGTGCAGCACTTACCAGTGCCCGAATTCGTGTACACGATCTGCTGATTCACGACTGCTAGGGAGCTGATTGAGACGCACCCTAACAGTACGCTCCTATCAAATCAAGGTTATTTAAACATCAGGTTTTCCTTGAATTCCTTTCAAGTGAGAGCACATGCAGTATTGTCAGTCATATTTGCTGTGGCACGTGACACCAGAAGGCGCATACCAACACAAACCTGTCTCACCTGTTACACGCTTATCTCTCCTTCTCAGGGTATAACGTGTCTTGACTAGCTGAGAATTTTTTTCCCCCAACAATGCTAATGTTTGACTAGAAAGAAGGAGGTCCAACAAAGCTTTTGCTGTCTCTGGATTGTGTAATGCCACTAAATCAAGCAGGGATTCCATGACACTTTGAGAACTGAACAGAATCTTCATTGTCAGACTTGGTGCTCTAAACACAGTTTTCAAGGGGCCATGGGTGAGTTTTTAAACTTTGTTTCAAAAAGGTTGTTATGATTTGGCAAGCTGTGGTACTTGGGTTATGTATAGATATATTTATTTATTTGTATTGCCATTCCAACACCTATGGCTTTTTAATGGAAAGATCAATGTATTTTAGAAGAAGCATATATAGTGATTATGTATATATATGGTAGCCAGTGTTCATGTGAATTGTAGTATAATGAGTGTAACATCATTTTGATTAGTAAGCAATAAACGACAGGTTACACCTGTATCATATTTTTGATTTAAAATTATTACTAACAATTATCCATAACTGAATGTATTTATTTATCTGAATGTAACTTATTTATTTACTGATTTACTCAGTGTGGCGTATGTGGTCAAGAAACTTGAGCTGACAGTTTATGACACCAACATCATTATAATGCTGCTTTCTTTTTAGCTCACCTGATCATAAACTACCTGTAATTAAGTCTTAACATTTAGACTGATAAAACACACAAGAGTTTATTGCAGGAAATCAGATAAAATGCCACTGTGAATCATGCAAACTGCACTTTGTACTGCTATGCATTCTTGAGTTCAAATCATTCAGGTTCAACTCGCATACCTGTAAGCCTGTTGAAACGCATTGCTCATGGCTATCCAGCTCCCGTGTTGCACTTTAGAGTCACATAAATCCTACCACTTCAATCTCTTTGGCATGTTTTTTCATGTCTTTCACATAATTAGATGCATTTGTCTGTAGGGTAAGTATTTCATAAAAGATAAGGCTGATTGAGAAAGTGCAACTGACTCACACCGTGTCTACACTGGACGCGACAGTTGTCGTGTCGCGCCGCAACAGCTAAAGCCTGTCTACACTGGACACGACAAACATAGCTGGCCCAAATGAAATCTGCATTTATTTGAGTGAAAAATCTGTAGAATGGCTGTTAAAATGTATTTTAGATACTTAAAAGTAGCTGAAAAAATAATTTACAAGCCAAAATATTACATATTTCATAAAACACTCCAGTTTATTAACCACCAATGGCTTCACCTCTCTTCTGTCCATTTTAGAGGTGCTTGTGCTTCTGGACTTTGAGGCGACAATGTCTGATGAGTTGACGGTGCATGTGGGAGATGTGGTGAAGAACGTCTCAAAGGGTAAAGAGGAAGGATGGCTGGAAGGAGAGCTGAGAGGAAAGAGAGGCATGTTCCCTAGCAACTTTGCCAAGGTCTGCACCTGTTTGAGCACACTTTCCATAGCTTTCCTAGTAGCCATAATGGTCATTTTCAAAATGGCTATTCTCTCCTTACAGGAAGTGCCTGTTTACTTAATAGGGGACAGCAACAGAGAGCCGAGAAGCATGAGGAAATGTAAGTTTTTTTGGCGTATCGATTACCATTTGTATAGCCAAAGTTTTAAGTTATTAAACTATGGTTAGTGTAGCAAAACCATGGTTAATTTGTAGCTACCATGGTTTAACTGTAGTAACCATGTTTTTTTGTTGTTTTATTTGTAGTAAAACCATGGTTAATTTTCGTAAGGGTGTTTCCTGCCTTAAAGACTAGGGATGGGCGTATCGATCCTTAAGTATCGATACTTTCGATACTGATGTTGTATCGAAAGGATCGATCCTCGCATAAAAATATCGATTCTAAAGTGCATTTTTTAACCATTAATTTTATTTAATTTATCAAGAAATTCGGGGCATAAGTGGAGAAATGGACTATATTAGCGAATAATTGTGTTGGATAGAACCATTTCTCCTGCTCATCGGAACACACGCAAATAGTTCGCTGCTGACGCATGGCTCACAGTGCTTGTTCAAATAGGACTGTGTTCCCCAAAAGCATCAGAAACATAAGTAGATCTTAAGAAACCATTGCCACATTATTACATTACATAACTTTGTTACTATATATAAAATTAATTCTGAAAAATGCATCACGGTTTCCACACAAATATAAAGCAGCAATAATAATAAATGTTTCTTGAGCAGCAAATGGTATTAGAATGATTTCTGAAGGATCATGTGACATTGCAGACTGGAGTAATTATGCTGAAAATTCAGCTTTGATCACAGATACATTTTAAATTACATTTTAAAATATATTAAAATAGAAAATAGTTATTTTTAATTGTTATATTTCACAATATTGCTGCTTTTACTGTTTGTTTGTTCAAATAAGTGCAGCCTTCCTGAGCATGAGACTTAAAAAAATATTACTAAATCTTACTGACCCCAAACTTTTGTGTACATGTAATATTTATTTTTAATTGGCTAGTTTGTGCAAGTACATTTATTTAAACTGGTTGTTAAAAGTTCAAATGGATTGTGTTATGTTCTGTAATTGCTGTTAATAAATCTGTCAGAAAAAAAACAAAAATGAGTTTAGCCTTTAGGGGTACAACAGTCTGGCAGCCTTTTACAAAAAAAATAACCATGGTTTTATTACTGTAACCACTGTTTACCACAGTATTTGTAGTGAAACTGCGGTAACCACAAATTTACCATGGTAATAATAATAATAATACATTTTAGTACTTTAGCCAACAAAGGTGGACCTTTGAAACTTATCTACACTTAAAGCATGCATACTTGTATGGTACTAATATGCTCCCTTTTAGGGGTATAGTTGCACCTTTGAGGTTACTGCCCCAGGAAAGGGCTAAAATACAATTATAGTATATTTTATTTCTAACAGTGTAAACAAAAAAGGCCTATGAAATGTTAAAAACATGGCTTTAAAATCTAATATTTAGTCAGTATAATTACTGATTATATTCTTTTAATAATTTAAATTCAGTAATTTATAATTAAGTTTAGTTTAGAGGTATCGATATCGACGATACTGGGCTTGAAAATATTGGTATCGGATCGAAAATTAAATAAGAGGTATCGCCCATCCCTATTAAAGACCAATGAAATTTGAATGCTGGCTGTGCAGATGCAATATTTGGCTGCATCGAATAAACGAACACACCCCTTCGTAAACCGATTCGGTTGTGAGTCTGAATGGCACTCTGAGTGGCATTAGGGTAGAAGATTTAAAAATGGCCGATAACCATAATTAAAATACATAGACTAATTAAAATGACATAGGCACGGTATTTAAACGATTGTTGAATTTTATATATAGTTTTATAAAAGTCATGCAAATATTGACACTCGTATTTTTCGAGAGTCGAATTAATCGGTTGAACCAATGATTCATTCATCGTCACTCCTGGCGTAAACCTGCACAAAAGCAATTCTGAATGAATCTTGGATGA